TTCTGAGTGGTGAAACATCTGCAGCATGGTCCTGCAGATGTTCAAGGACCTGAGTCTCCTCAGAAGAAAAAGGCGACTCTGCTCTTTCCTGTAGAGGTGCTGGTGTCAGCTGACTAGTCGTTTATTGTCCAGGTGGACCTCCAGGTACTTGTAGCAGTCCAGTGTCCACCTTGGTACCCTTGATGTTGACGGGGCTGGGGGGCTGGTCTTCCTGTGGTCCACCTGCAGCTCTTTAGTTTTCCCATCGTTGAGCTGCAGCTGGTTCTGTCCACCACACCTGTGTTCAGCTTCCTGGTCACCAGTGGTGCAGCCCACAACAGCAGATCTTCCAGAACTTCTGCAGATGCAGGATTGTGAGTTGGACCTGAAGTCCGAGGTGTAGAGGAACAGAAACGGTGAGAGGAGCGTGCCCTGAGGAGCCCCTGTGCTGCTCAGATGGTGTCCCAGGTGTTCTGCAGCCTCACATACTGTGGTCGACCTGTGAGGTCGTCTCTGATCCAGGTGACCAGCGAGTCCTTCACCTGCATGTCCAGGAGCTGCTGCAGAGCAGAGCAGGTCTGATGGTGTTCAAAGCACTGGAGAAGTCAAAGACCATGACTCTGACAGGCTGCCTGCCCTGTCCAGGTGTGTGTGTGCAGCAGGTAGATGATGTCATCACCTCCAGGTGTGTGTGTGCAGCAGGTAGATGATGTCGTCACCTCCAGGTGTGTGTCTGGGCAGCAGGTAGATGATGTCATCACCTCCAGGTGTGTGTCTGGGCAGCAGGTAGATGATGTCATCACCTCCAGGTGTGTGTGTGTGCAGCAGGTAGATGATGTCATCACCTCCAGGTGTGTGTGTGTGCAGCAGGTAGATGATGTCATCACCTCCAGGTGTGTGTGTGCAGCAGGTAGATGATGTCATCACCTCCAGGTGTGTGTGTGTGCAGCAGGTAGATGATGTCATCACCTCCAGGTGTGTGTGTGTGCAGCAGGTAGATGTCATCACCTCCAGGTGTGTGTGTGTGTGCAGCAGGTAGATGATGTCATCACCTCCAGGTGTGTGGCTGGTGGAACCACAACTTTTGATTTAAAGATCTTGTTCAAACTTAATCAAAAAGATTCAAGAGTTTCTGAAACGTGTTTCAGGACAAGATCAAAGTTTGAGACGAGTTCTTTTCGTCTTGATAAAAGTTTGTTGGTGGAAATGAAAAGTGAAGCTGAGCCCGTCGACACGAAGAACGACACACTCACGTTTCATTTCTTTATTTTCTGTAAAATAAAGTGAAGTTAAAGTTCTCTTTAAAAATCTCCTCAGATTTAAAAACATTATTTGTACAACATTCCCTGCTTATTAAAAACATCTAATAAACATCAAAAACATGGTTTCTGATCAATTCAGTTTCTGTTTCTCCGCCTCCAAACAGTAAAACCGCCTATAAACAAATTAATATACATCGATACAAAACATGAAGTATGGCCTTTAACTGATCCCAGGTCAGTGCAACACACACACACACGCACGCACGCACGCACGCACACACACACCACACACACACACCACACACACGCACGCACGCACGCACGCACGCACGCACGCACGCACGCACACACACACACACAGGTGCATTGTGGGATATGACAGACAACCTGAAGACGGAAAATAAAAACATTTTGTTCCAGTCGGTCCGATTGATTTATGTTCGTGTTGATTTTGATCATGTGATCTTTTATTAAAAATTAAAAACCGGAAAGTTCCAGTTTCTGCGTTTCTGGGACTTTTGACCTTTGACCTCTGAGACAACCTGAAACCCAACGCAAGTAAAAAATGATAAAATAAATAAAACTGAAGCTTGGACGAAGCAGGAAATGTTTCAAAAGTTTCAGGATTAAAAATAAAAACTGAACTGGACCCAAACGACCTGCCAGCTCCAGAACCGCCTGAAGCCTTTGATCTGACTCGACAGGTCGAAACCACGCCCCCCCAGCGCAGAACTAATAATCCATCGATCAATCAGTGGATCAGAGATGAGCCGAACCTTTTGTTTCAGCAGACTGACGTCACTTCAGTTCATCTGATGAACTAATCAAACTAATCATCAGTTCAACTGATGAACTAATCATCAAACCGATTGGTTCATCTCATTAATCAAACTGATCGGTTCATCTGATGAACTAATCAAACTGATCATCAGTTCACCTGATGAACTAATCAAACTGATCATCAGTTCACCTGATGAACTAATCAAACCGATCATCATTTAATCTGATGAACTAATCAAACCGATCATCATTTAATCTGATGAACTAATCAAACCGATCATCAGTTCATCAGATGAACTAATCAAACCGATCATCAGTTCATCTGATGAACTAATCAAACCAATCATCAGTTCATCTGATGAACTAATCAAACCTATCATCAGTTCATCTGATGAACTAAACAAACTGATCATGAGTTCATCTGATGAATTAATCAAACTGATCATTTAATCTGATGAACTAAAAAACTGATCATCAATTCATCTGATGAACTAATCAAACCGATCATCAGTTCATCTGATGATCTAATCAAACCGATCATCAGTTAATCTGATGAACTAAACAAACTGATGAGTTCATTTGATGAATTAATCAAACTGATCCATCATTTAATCTGATGAACTAACACTGATCATCACTTCATCTGATGAACTAATCAAACTGATCATCAGTTCA